GCATCTGCGCTGGGCCCCAGAGTGCTAGGATGATAGGCGTGAGCCACCGAGCCCGGCCTCTAAACTCTGTTAGGTAGACAGTTAGGACCTCTGGCTCTTCTGCCGTGTTTCCCTGAAAATAAGCTCTACCCATAACATAAGCCCCAGCAGGATGTCTAAGCATGTGCGCCATAGAAGCCCCACCCCGAAAATCTGCCCTGGTGACGGGCGTGTCTGCGCAGCGTCTGCACAACCCGTGCGTGTGGTCGCGGGGCGGGAAAGAACACGAGCAGCCCTTCCCATCCCCGTGAGAGCTCTGTGGCTCCACAGGAGAGATCGGGGCCGGTGGTTCTAAGGGAAACAGAGTCACAAGACATCCAGGATGGGATTCGGGGTCTGGAGAGTGAGGATGATGCTCCAGAAGAAGGCGGCTTCACTCTATTTGAATAAGGGTAGATGGTCGTACCGTACTTAAAAAAAATAACACATCCCCTGAAAATAAGTCCTAGGATGTCTTCTTGAGGAAAAATAAATAGAAGACCCTGTCTTGCTTTTGGGGACACGGTAGGGACGAGGTGCCCTGCTATGGTGCTGTCTGGAGCACCTGCTCCCCGGGGGAGGGGTAAGGGCGGACACTCTGTGCTGGTGCGGCCCCTCCCGTAATCCCGTCCCAGGCAGATGGCACACCTGGGCAAGGAGGGAACGCTTCATTAATCTGGGAATTCCCCAGCCCAGGCACGCTGGGATTTGGGTAGTGACCTGGAGTAACCTCAGGGTAACTATCATGCCATTAGCTGGACTCTGCATTGTGGTCCCCCGGCCAGCCCCACACCCCAGTGGGCTTTTGGGGAGGGAGCTCGTATATGCACATGGCATTTAGAGGACACCTGTGGGTCATTTGGTGGCACCCCCACACCTCCCCCAGCCGGGGCCAATAGAGGAAACGATCTGAGGTTCCGAGTCAGAGGGTGGTTGGAGGGTGGGTGAGTCAGCGTCTCCACTGCAGACAGACCCGATTTGTTCTACAGCAAAGAGCTGCTTGCATGAACCTGCTTCCCGCCAGGGGGGGTTACTCTGTCCTGTGGGCCCAGCCGGTGATCTTTCCAAGATAACAGTCCGGACTGGACACTTGGTTGTGTCTGGTCAATCTTCGGCCAAGCAGCGAGGGCAGACCACCACCCTACACGTCCTTTTTTTTTTTTTTTTTTTTTTTGAGACAGAGGTCACTTCTGTTGCTCAGGGCTAGAGTGATTGCGTGGCATCAGTCTAGCTCAAGACCTCAAACTCCTGGGCTCAGCGATCCTCCTGCAGCCTCCGTATGGCTGGGACTACAGGGCATGCGCCACCATGCCCGGCATTTTCTATATATATTAGTTGGTCAAATTTATCTTATTTGTAGTAAGACATGTCTCGCTTTGCTCCAGAGCTGGTTCGAACTCCTGACTGTCGTTTGACGATCGCCCGCCTGGCTCCCAGAGTATGGGATTACAGGTGTGAGCACCGCACCGGCCTGGAAGGAGATTATTGCCAGGAAAAGGATGCCGGATCCCCGGTCTGAGGAGTCAGTCCAGGCGAGCTGGCGGCTTGTCTGGGGCGCGGTTTTCAAAAGGGGGCTTGTGAGGTGAAACGGTATGCACCCATGGCCCGAGGACGTCAGCTGGCCTGTTTCGCTCTCATTTTACCAAGGCTCACGGCAGTGCTTCCAAAGGCTCACGCCGTGGACCGATTGGCAGGTGGGCAGGGAGCAGACATCGGGGGATCAGGGTTCTGCGAGCCGGGCATCCGAGAACTCGCAGAAATGCCACCTGAGCCGTTCTTCCACTACTTTTTGTTTTTTGTTTTGAAAATGGTTTTTTAATTTAAAAAGTTATCTGTGTCAGTGCATGAACAGGTTGTTATTTTTAAAATTTTAATTGATGGTAAATACACATAAATATGCTTCTTAACTTTTTAGTATATTTTTTGATAGATCTGCTTTGTTGCAGGCTAGAGTGGTCCGTGGCGTCAGCCTGCTCACAGCAAACCTCAGGACTCCTGGTGTCAACGGATCTCCTGCCTCAGTCCGGAGTAGCTGGACTTACAGCATGCGCCACCATGGCCCGTATTTTCATATTTATAGTAAATATATATTTATTGGTCATAATTTCTTCATTATAGTAGAGCGGGTCTCGCTGTTCGGCTGGTCAACTCCTGACCTCGAGCAGTCTGCCCGCCTCGGTCTTCCAGATGCTAGTACAGGCGTGAGCACTCGCGGCCTTGTTTTGTCTTTAAAGTGGTATTTATTAAAAAGGGGTATGACAGGTTGTTATTTTAATTTTAGTTATGGTAAAAACACATAAATAGCTTCTTAACCATTATATTTTTTGTATTTTGAGACTGGGGCCTGCTAGATGGCCGTGATAGCTGCTCACAGCACTCCAACTCCTGCCAACGATCCTCCTGCCTCAGCCTCCCGAGTTAGCGGACGACAGGATGCGCCACCTGCCGGCTGATTTTCTTATGGTGGTTTTTATTGTCCGCTATTCCTATTTTAGTAAGACAGGGTTCTCCTTGCTCAGGCTGGTTTCAACTCCTGACTTGAAGTGATCCGTCCCTCCTGGGCCTCCAGAGTGCTAGGGTTACAGGTGTGACACCGCGCCTGGCCTTATATTGTTGTCAGTGATAACAGGTTTTTATTTTAAAAATTAATCATGGTGAAACAATGCAATGATGCTCTACCATTTTAATTATGGTTCATAGATTCAAATTATTATGGACGTCACGCACCATTCATGTCCAGAATTCGCTTTGCAAACACTTGAACTGCCGCTGTATCAGACATAGTCCACCCTACCCCCACCCAGCCCTGGCAGCACCTTCCACCTTTCGCTGTGCATGGCTACTCAGGCTCTCTAAGAGTGGACTAACAGACCCACACGGGGATCGCCGGACAGGGGGGCGCCGCTGGGACGGTGACCTCAGGAGAAACCTGAGGCAAGAGTGGCAGCTGGGGGCCGGTGCGGTGGTCACGCTGTCATCCCAGCCACTCTGGGGAGGCGAGGCTGGAGGATCGGCTCGAGGTCAGGATTTGGAACCAGCCTGGAGCAAGAGGCGAGGACCCATCTCTACTAAAATAGAAGAAACTTAATTTGGCCAACTAAAACTTATATATATAGAAAATTACTGGCATGGTGGCACATGCCTGTATCCAGCTACTCGTGAGGCTGAGGCAGCAGATGCTTGGGCCAGGAGTTTGAGTTGCTGTGAGCGAGGCTGACGCCACGGCACTCTTGCCGCGAACGTGAAACTCTGTCTCAATCTCTTC